ACAGCTTGTGCGACGGGGCACTCCCAGAAGTGGTGCATGCGTGGGGAGCAGTGCTGGTTGCTGGCGTTGCCGAACCCTCCACACCCACAGCGCTCAGGCACCATGCGGGCCAGGTGCGTGTTGCCGGGGGAGGGGGATGCCGTCCACGGCGAGCCGCCACAGCGTTTCTTTGTTCTCGTTCTCCCACCGCACCCCCGACCACAAGCGGGCTTGCGTCGCCCTGAAGCGGCTTGTTTCCGCTGAGGAGGGAGGTGCCGTTTCCTGCGGGTCCAACGCTTCTTGCACAAATGCTGCCATCAAGCGTCCCCGTTTCTCCTCGGTGGCCCCGCATTGCAGCTGTGTCGCTAGGCGGACCGTCAGGCGTGTGAGTGGGACGGTTGTTGTGCCGCCCGGTATCTGCCATCCGACCCGCTTTAGGATCATAGCCATCGCCTGAGTGCTGTTGGGGGTGCTTGGAGCCGCCATGTCCCCCGCCGTTGGCGTCTCTGGCTGCTGCTGTTGGGGGTGCTGCTCATGCGGCTGCGTCTGTAGCTGTTGCTGCGGCTGTTGCTGCTGTTGCGGCTGATGCTGTGTCTGTAGCTGTGGTTGTGTTGGCAGCTGTTGTGGCTGTACCTGCGGCTGTGGCTGCGGCTGTGGCTGCGGCTGAGGCTGCGGCTGTAGCTGCGGCTGTGGCTGCGGCCGTGGCTGCGGCTGTGGCTGTGGCTGCGGCTGTGGCTGCGGCTGCGGCTGTGGCTGCGGCTGTGGTTGTGACTGCGGCTGTGGCTGCAGCTGTGCCTGCGGCTGGGGTTGCTGTTGCTGTTGGGTTTCCACTGCTCTTGCAGCTTCGAGCCAGGCCGGGTTGATAGCGCCATGTAGCGTCTTAAGGGCTGCCAGGGTCGCTGATCTGTCCCGCGTGGATGCTGGGGTTGATGGGTCGAGGTGTGTCCTGACCCATTCGGGCCACTCGAGTATGGGAGGCCACTCGAGTATGCACCACTAGGTCCCAGACCCGCACTAGGTCGCCCACCGTTTGCAGTTTCCTGCATGTAGCGATCCCCACGAAGTGCGTCTCCAGGCCCGGGCGGCGGTTCAAACTGTCTGGGTCTGCCTCGCCGGTATTGGGGAGCAACGGGTTACCCCACAACGCGGTTGCCCATCACCACGGTCCGGGGGACAGGGGGCTGGTCTCGATATCCCGGAGCGGTGGTAGGTGTCCCAGGGCGCCCACAATCCGGCTGATATCCGTGGGTAGGTCGCTTCCGCCGAGTCGGGGCCCGGCTTGGCTGGCGGTCGTCAGGGCCCACGGTTGGAAGGCGGGGTGGGTGAGCAGCATATAGGCGGAGAGCGTCCGGACCCATGTATGTATGTATGTATGTATGTATGTATGTATGTATGTATGTATGTATGTATGTATGTATGTATGTATGTATGTATGTATGACTTAGATTACACTGTGGGCCGCGAGGGCCGGGGGCCGAAGCCGATACATACATACATACATATATGTATGTATGTATGTATGTATGTATGTATGTATGTATGTATGTATGACGTTGATTACACTGTGGGCTGAAAAGCCGGGGGCCCAGGGCCGAAGCACAGCGCGGGGGGCGGGTGCATACGGCTGGTTAGTCTCATGCACTCCGCCCCCGGGTCAGGCCGCACGGGAAACGACGGCCGGCACGCAACAGCGCTTGTTTGGCGCTCCAACTAGACGGGATCTATGCCCGTTGGTCTCCTAACATAAACGAAGTCGCAACTGGGGGGCTCTTCCTGCCGACCGAACGAACCGAGCATCTCAGAGAGCTCGCTACCAGGACTTGGGCGACCNGGGAGCCCGACGA